AAGCGTTGCATCTGACAGGAGAACAACATGACAAAAAGTGCTATGCCGCTCTAAACCATAAACCCTGAACTCTAAACCCTCAAGTCTAAACCCCAAGCCCTAGACTCTAAACGCTAAACTCTAAACCCAAACCCCAAAAAAGGCATTATAGAATCCCCTGTAGCCTCCCACATGAATCCCAGGTTACGCTACTCTGAGGCGAGCGCCTTCTTCAACAGCGTGTATCGGATGATCGTTGAGACCAGCGAGGTTTCGACCTGCTGCAACCAGAGTTCCTTCCTCATGGGCTGGGCATTCTAAACAGATGCCAACATAACCTAGAAAGTGTCGGGAGGGGGGAGGCATCAGGGCTTCTGGCAGTATATGATGTCACAAGCAACAAAAACATGAGCTTTAGCGCCTCCGGGCTCAAAATGGGAAGCAGGATGCCCTCCACAAAGGCTGAATGCGTCGAGAGCCTAGGCACTCCCATGAAACTCAAAAAGTGTGCGGCATGCAGGTTCTGCAGCGTAGCGGGCCTGGGGTATGGCAAGCAAACTTGAAATCACTCCCACGGCAACATGAAGCCAAATGTTCTGCTTTTTGTTTGGGACCTCAGGTAATTGACATGGACAAGTCGGCCAATGCCTATCAGCCATGCAGGTCTTGCACCCACAGAACAGGATACAGTGTAGGCATGCTGGGCGCATGGCTGTGTGAAGAGGAAGGCTGTGTGTGACTTGAACGGGTCAAAGATTTCATGAAGGAACTTTGCCTGGCGACGGAATGCTTCTTCAAACACTTATCATTTTCTCAACTATTCCGACTATGTCAGTCTAATTGTATCAGTGCACCGTGGAGAAGCGGCAATGACAAACCAGACTCGGAGTTTAAATGCTTGCGAGTTTTGCAATCACTGCGCACATTGAATTCCTAGCTAGACACATTGTGAGGCCTGCTGCATCTCCGACTTCATGATGAGGCTCAGCCTTGAAAAGGCTTTAGTTTTTCTGACAGTCACAGTGCCGAGCTCTGACCTAGCCTTTGCCAGCATCTCAAGATTTGCACTGCATCTGAGGTCTCCAGCGTGGACTTGAAGAGATGTACTGCCCCTCAGCTCGGGAGGTTGGCAAGCGTCATTGTTGCTTAACAATGTTTAAACTGTAGCGACGCATGGGTGGGACAGAAACCGCGATAAAGTTCTGAATGGATGGTGGGCAGCTGGCAGATGAAGCTTCGCAAAGGCCACTTGCCAAAGAATTGCTATCTTGACTCCATTCTTCTGCCAATTCAACTGCAAGACTAGGACTCCAACGTGGTTGGAAAAGATCGTGGTAGATACGTTCGCACATAGTGCGGAACGTCCGGTTGTCAACTTCCTCGCGCTTACCAGGACATTAGGCGCAGTCAGGGCGCAAATGGGCATTGCCGGAAGAGAGTAACACAAGTCCAACGATGCGGCATACCACCAAGTCCTGCAGGCTGCCCTTCCTCAAAGCCATGCTCAGCCGCGCCATGTACACGGGCTGCTGCTGCAGGATCCACACCAGCTCCTCTCAAAGCACTGCCTGTTTGTGACCTGCCTCTTGCTTCTTCCAGCGAAAACAAACTGGGACATGCTATTTCCTCAAACACCAAAACTGGGGCAAATGGCCCGTATGCACAAATCATCAAATGGGCAGAGGCCTGGAAATGGACCAGCTTGCCTCTGATCTCTGCATCAGTCTTGACCTTGGCGCAACAGAAGGCTGAGCTCCACAACGGAAGCAGATGAACAGCACCTGCAAGCCAAGGTAAGTTGGGTGAAGTCACTAGGTGCCGTGCCCAGTATGGGTTCTCCATCTGAGGACCTTCCCCGCTGCCCTCCAGGCTCAAGGCCTAGGATGGGACTGCCCTGAACGAACAATACTAAAATAGATTCAAATAATAATGCTAGTAACAGTACATTTGAGAATATGAACTAAAAATCATCTGTCCAAGCCTGGCTTTGAAGCATTTGCACAAGGCTAGTTGAAGAGCATCCATCAAATGAAAAACAATGCTTGGCTGAGACCACTGTATTCCCCAACAAAAGGATGAGCGAATACTTGCCGGGGCCGGGACGTACAGCGTGCGGATGTAATCCACCTTGACGCGTAGATTACGCGCAAGTTCAAGTGCCCCACTTAGAATGACCTCTGCTCACTCCCTTCCACTGCCCACGAAACTAGCTGGTGCGTTTGGGAATGGATCTCTGCAGAATCATTACCACCCATCCCTTTGCCGCGAGAACTGCTGAGAGGTGCTGCCTCGGAAAGTCTCCTTCAAGTCCTCTACCTATAGTCCCCCCTTAAGCAGATAGAGTGTAGGGTATATGGGGATCTTATTAAGATATACCCAAAGCCATATTCTATCGACTTAAGGGGGGCTATCCTAGTGCAATTGCCCCTCCCTTGATTCTCCACGAATCGCCCGAAAATTCACAGAAGGCACGAGCCACCTCTAGCTCCTTCTGAAGCTGACGTAGCCTCGGCGTACATGAGGACTTGGATGGATGAAGGGTTGGGGGGCTATATTGGGATAATGGAAAATAAAATGGAAACTACTATAGTATTATAGGGTATGTATTGGGGTCATATTGGGATAATGGAAAAGAAAATGGAAACTACAGTCAACACTTACAGCCAAGTGGACAAGAACGACATTGGCCAAGCCAGTATTCTTTTAGCCCGGAAACCTAGATGTAAATGCCCCCATGTACATATCCACCGGTGACCTATGCACAAGGGTGGCGCAAGGGTTAGTCTCATGATGGGAACTTGAGCTGTTCATCGCATTAGCGTACGTCAGGGTCCGAAAGGTGAAGACCCGCAGCTGGGACACCAGCGTGTATTCGGAAGGGTCCAGCCCTTGGCACAGTCCAAAAGCACAACAGGGCCCGTCAGTGGAGAATAAGTGTCCTGCTGGAGGCAGGCTTGTCCCACATCTTGTAGATGAAGTCCAGGTGGCTATCACATGTGCGTTGCACCTCGCGCTCGCGGAAAACGTACCAGTGGCCGTCACTAGCAGCGAATAGCAAACATTCTGCGCAAAGATCCTGCTACTATGCTTCTATGCTGTAACTGTAGACTCGAGCCAAGAGGTCACCTACACGCGGAGATGCTGCTGCTACAACAGCGTGTGTGGCAACAGAATCGCCTGACGCTCCCTGTCCTGCAATGCCTTCAGCTTGCAGTCCTCACAGCCAGAGCATGCAGCGTCAAAGCTCCAGGAATGGCGAGAAGATATGACGACTGCCCTTGTCCATGGCTGGGCATCCAGCAAAGAGCGCAAGATTTGCAATGACAATGACTTTCCATCATCCACTCAAAACCCCCGTTCAAAGCGTAGACAGCAGCAATCCAAGAAATCAAATGTGCCCTAAGACCTCTAGCAAATGAGTACACGTGCAGCGCATAGCTGGGAACCCTCAACAAGCATTGAAATACCCAGGCCCCTGGCTGCCCTCTCTTCGAAGAGTTTCCTCTGGCAGTCGAGCCACGTGCGGCCTCTGCAGCAGCTTCTTGGCAGCACACACGGGCTACTGAACAAGCCCGGCAGCCAAGATGGAGACACCCCGACATAGTCTATGCATATATATTAGTCTATACTATCAGATAATATATGTTATTATGGTATCCTGCTTTCTGGACATCCTCGCAACATAAAGCGGCATGATGCGGTAACCGATTTCCGAGGCCACATGCTCTGTCTGGCCAAAGGGTATTTGCCCTAAATAGGGGGACACCAAGATAGCCCCCCCCAAAAAAACAATCCTTGTTATATGGACCCACGAAAAAGGTACCCCGTAATTTTGAGAAAACCACATAATTATCTTCAAAGTTTCCAGATGAACTCTGCCCGCCAGAAAGACTGGCAGCCCTGTCATACCCTGCTACCCACGGAACCCGAGGAATTTCCAGCCACCATCTGAGTCGCCAACTGGGCTCATCCAGCTTGCCCGCATCCTCCATGAGGCCGTGGTTGCTCTCCCGCACCATGGGCTTCCAGCGATCTTCCTCAGCTCTCCGCTGTTCAAATGCTCAGTGCAGAAGTTGTGGGACATCCGACAGGCGTGAGGCACTCCGGGATTGTTGTGCTGCTTCCCTCAAGTTGACTGAGGCCAGCGCTACCCTCATGGGCGGATAGATGCCTCAGCTACTGATCAAAAAAGAGACACATCATGGCGAACATTCCTGAAGGACATGGAATCCTAGCAAGAGACATCTCCCAAGCACCCTGAGTGATGCAGGATCTTTGCCATGATAATCATACCACATATTACCACCAAGCAAACCCAGGTGTGATGCCGCCTAGCGGCGAAACGACCAAACAAGTTCCTGCTCATTCTACTATGGCTCGGACTACTTTGCTATCATTTTTAATTTTCTTTGACAAATTCCGCTGCCGATGCTGCGGCTACGGCTACGCCTGTGACTACAGTGATTTGCCGGCACGTTCTGTTGTAGTACATTGCCAGATGCCGTGGTCGGCGTCCCTGTTTCTGCCCCTTGTCAGATTTGACATACTGCAGGATACTGATAAATCCCACAGCCCATGAAACGACAACATAACTACCATTCAGCTGTGACTGTGCAACTCCAGCCTTTTCTGTGCACGACTCTTGCGTGGCACCGCGTCCTGTTCCGCATCTTGCAGAGTCTTGGCGGAGCAGCTCGCGCAAGTCCACAAGCACTCTAAACCACCGGCGCTGAAGGGAGAGGTGGGAGAGCGGATCCCTTTAATACTCCCCATAGAAACTGCAGAAATACGCCTTGTATTTACTCCCCCACTCCCCGCCAAGCTCCACTAAGTCTAATCTACAGGTCTGCTATCTGCCAGCATCTAGGGTTGGGCTATCTTTGCAAGGGCCGCTGTAGGTTTTAGCAACCCCTGTGTGAACAGAACAGCAACAACGGAAAGCCTGCGTTAGGTCTCACAGGTGTGGAGTTGTTCAGAATAAGCCATGGAGTGATGGCTGGGCAAGGAAGGGGGGTTATGGGTCACTCAACGCCAATACACTCTTCTTCCAGCCACTTCCTCAGTTCAGGCAACAATGAGGAGAATAGCGAAGGGGCACATGAACCAGCAAGTGCAGAACATGGGCACAGCCAAGTTTCAGATAGCCTTCGTTTCCGCTGATGCTGCTCCACTGCACCGCCTGGCCTGCTTGGGCCTCCACCAGCGGCTTACACCGGGCAACCTCCAGGAATTCTCCTACATTTCAGGGACGAGCATCTGACAAGCTCGAAAATCATCAAAGCCAGGGCGCTGTCTTCACTGCCAAACTTGTTTCTGAAGCTTGCGCACAAGCCACTATGCGCTTCTCCACCAATTTTTCCTTAGTGGGCAACTGTGCTGTCTGCAGAATGCTATTTAATCCGCCACATTCTTTAGTCAGAAACCTAAGACGTGGCATTCTTCAAATCGTGGCCTCTGGCAACGAGACACAGAAAGGGGAAACTCCCACTTGCTGGCAGAGCTTCTGCAATCTTGATCGCCTCTTCGCCACCCAGGGCCAAGAGGCCCTTCCTCCAATTTCATGAGAGTGTGACTCTTCCCCTCCTCTTCCGTAAACGCAGAACATACCCCGCCCCGACAAGGATATCTGATTTCAATGCACCCGACTAGGGCGCCCTAAATACAACAGGCGTCCAGTAGGGCGACTCTGCCGGGCGCTCGGGCAAGTCGTAGATGATCATGGGCAGATCGTAGCTGTGAGCTTTCCTTAGCTCGTCAAGAAAACTATAAACCCAAAAACCCTAAAAACCCTGAACCCCAAATCCTACAGTACTCTTGCTCAGGGATCAGAATAGATTTTGGGGATGCGGTTGGCCCGGCGGGCGGCAACTGGACAAACTTGGTACCCCTGCTGGCTAGGGAGGGCTCCGATACTGCTCGCAGTGCTAAATGTTCTGCTTGCTTGGAGCCTGAAGGCCTGCGTGCCACATTCTTCTGCAACAGCCCAGTCTCGACACCACCTCCTCCACCTTCGAGAAGGGTGCCTAAATTGCGGCGAGCAAGGCAAAAGAGCTGGGCAAGGGGACTCCGTGAGGGTGAACCGCTTCCAAGGCACAGTGGTTGTAATGGCGACCCGCCACTCAGGGTCAAAGTTCACTTTGCCCGCCCACCAGTAGTAGCTCTTCACCTCCTCGACCGTGACCTGGTGTGGCATGATCCGTGCATCCGTGACATGCACTCGTCCATGTGAGGCCTGCTGAAGTAGCAAAGACTGGAACTTTGAGGGTTTCAAGATGTAGCAACCTTGACAGCAGACATAACCGACCCACCTCAGCAGCCTCTAGGGCTTTGCTGGCTTCCACGATCTTCTGGGCTTTCTCTTTGGCATCCTGAAACAAAAGATTGACGTGGCTTCGAGCTTAAGAAAACAAAAACGGCCTCTGTAGTGAGCACTGTGATAGCAGTTGATGCCGAGGCCCCAGCCTGACAAGAAGCCAGCAGCAGCAGTAGTAGGAGCACCACCACCACCACCACCACCACCGCCGCCGCCGCCACCACCACCACCACCACCACCAATGCAAGTACCGGTACCACTACCATGTGGCGGTGGGAGTTGTCTCTGAAATGGTAAGACCAGGAGACGGCATCTCAGCAACGCCGATGCACTTGCATACCTTCTGCGTCGCTATGTTCGTTCCCTTTCAGGTTTTCCGGCTTCCCTTCCCACAAAAGCCCCCTCCCACAAGCGCCCCATCCCCGCCATGGCCGCAAAAGGCCGGAAGGCCGCGAGGCTTTTCGGGCGTCCCAAGTGCCACGGACCTGCACCAGGAGAGGTTGCTTCCTCGTACTTGTCTGCTTCAACGGAAAGCAAGAGATGATGGCGTTGCTAAGCTGCTAAGCCCTTGCTGCCCAGGCACTTGAGGCCAAGAGCGCCAGGAGAGACAAGCGGCGCATCGGAGGCCGGACTATCGGCTGCCGCAAGAGGAGGCTGGTTCGGGCCAGCACGGCAAATACAAAGAGAGCTTCGAACCTTCTTCCCGAATCAGTAGGATCAGAAGACAGCGTGACCAAAAGATGCAGGCAGCAAGCGCTACCTGCTTGTGCAACTGAACCTGGGGCTCAGCCTGATGCCTGCAGAAACCTCTGAAGCGACATGCAATTTCCAAATGAGAAGCCCCAAGCCCACCACAATCATCTACAATTATACATGCGGACCCTGAAATGCAGCCCCATTTCAGACAAAGACATAGTGGGCATCTGTCAGAGGGAGCTGCAAAGTAGTAAAGCCCTGCAATGCATCCTGACTAGATACTAGATACCAAGCTTCGACAAGACTTTCTATGGGTCTGCCACCAAACGAGCTTCTGGCGGAGGTGTCTGGGCCCCGTTGTCTGGGTGCGCTCTGGTGGAAAGCCCTGCTTGCGGCTGAAATGGGTAGGGCTGGGACCCCTGAATATCTAGGGAATGTGGGGACTACAAGGCAACTATGAAAGGATTCTGGGGAGTTGCTGAGAAGGAGTACGTAGGCAGGGATGAGGCTTGGGGTTCGGTGATGGAGGCGGGGCTTCAAATTTAGGCGGATGGCTTTCTGCTTTCAGCGCTCTGTAGCTGTAGCTGCTCGCGGTGTCGCACAGTCATGCAACTGTTCTGAAAAATATTGCCCGGAGTACTGTGGTTCTGGGCCATTCTATTCTCCTGGTTCTTACCGGATTTCATGTGACCCACTGAGCGACAATTCTTATTTTCGTCATTGTTGGTTGAAAGTGGGCCTTGTTTCTCTCTCGAATCTGGAGCATCTCCAAGCGCTCGTCCACCTCACAACTGCAGTCAAATAGATGGCAACTGGCCAAGTCCTATTGGGATTACATGCGTGGGTTCTAGGGATACTCTAGGATGTCTAGGAAGTCTGGGAAGAGTGTCACAAAACATGGAAACCACATGACGACATCAGTTCAGAGGAAAGAGCATCTAGCCATGCTACAGCATCGACGACGCAGCCTTCCTGAATCTCCGAATCTATTCTTCACTATGATACGCTGAATCTGCATTACTTGAAGAAGACTACAGATCTCAAGGCCTTACAATGATCTTCGCACTGCATGACCAGCAATTATTTGACACTGAGCTAGGGGCATCCAGCTGGAGACCTAACCTGCCCGACCTCTGAAGCTGAGGCATGTCGGGTCAGATCGATGTAGGGGTGTGGCGGCAGATGCATGGGGACATGTAGGTAGTCAGGTGGCGAAACGCATGGTAGGTAGATGCAAACATGCGTGAGGACTTTGCACTAGGGCTACATGGCGGCTACTGCTAGATTTTGTGGTCTTCCCGTCATCCTGACAATTCGACAGGCATCCTGTTTGAGGAACTCCCAGAAAGGCTCGCATTGCTGTGCAAACGGTAGGGCTGTGGCCCACTGAAGCCCCAAGAGTAGACCAAAGGCCTCGGAGACGCTTTAAGCTGTGGTCCAAAAAGCAGTATCCAGTTAATTTCCCTTTTTCCGTTTCGATTTTCCACTCATTAATTATATCGCCAAGTCTTGACTGTCGTCCTTGAAGCCCGGCAGGTGCTTCAGGGACGTAACAACAACAAGCAAGTCCCAAATCAATGGTCCCTCGGGTTCCTGGACAGCAATTGCAAGATACTGTGCATGAGCAGGCATTCGTCCACTTCTCAACCATCCTGGAGAATAAAGGGGTCGGCATGTGCAGAGGCATCAGAGTTCTGAGCACCGCAGCCATCAGCAAATAACTTTGCATGGGCCGTCCATAGACAACACGCATGTCTTCGAGCGCATGTGGCTTTTCTGCTCTGGGCATATATCATTCTGGCCAAAGCATGCTGGCTCAGCTGGGATTCCGTCTGCGCTTGAACATACACAAACATGATGCCAGGCATGCTTCGAGCACGCACATGGCAACCCACAAGGCTTAAAGGGAAAGGTGTTTCTGAAACTGTGTCTGTTCATCTCATACCACGACGATATGTCTTGTGCTAGGTTGGCTGGAGTGCGTACTTTCGAGGATTGTCATCGTCTATTTTACTGGATTCTCAAAATCAGATGCTCCCCTGAGTCTGTGGAGACAATGTCAGAGAGCTCACCGACCTGAAGCGCAAAGGAAGCTTCCTGGCAAGGCAGCCATCAGAGTTCGCACGCGTGTGCCATGCTATCATGTGCCTTCGTTTGAGGTAAGCTGCGCAGGTCATAGCAGAAGTAGCAGTTGTGGTATTCGTAGCCGTAGTGTGGTGTTGGTTTTGGTGCTGCTGCTGCTGCT